TGAGCTAGAATGCCAGGTACCATGTCGGATACAAAAAAGATTCTATATACTCAATAAAAGTTTAGCAACCTCCCATTTTGCCTTTTTCTAAAAGAGGAATGTGAAGGGTATGAGAGAAAGAATAGAGCTACGTATGGAGGTCGCATGGGCCTCCTGGGAACACACTTCAGCAGAAAGTGAGCGGTGGGGACAGGATGTGTGGTGGCACTTACATGCACTCCTTCTCTGTGTCCTTGGAACTGTCCGTGCAATAAAAGAACTTTCCCTTGAAGAGCTGAACGGCGATAACAGCAAAGATGAACATGAAGAGCTTGTAGACAATGAGGATGTTGAAGACGTTCTTCAATGAGGTCACCACGCAGTCAAAGACAGCCTGTGCACAGAAGAGCCCGGGGTGTGAGTCCCGAAAGGGCCTGCGCATTTGCCTAGAGCTGAGCCAGCCCACTGAGAAGGTGCCTCAGGAGACATCGCCTTGCTAAGCAGTGACACTCATGGGATTCAGAGCTGGCTTCCAAGCTGGTCACGACTACAAGGACCCACCACCTGAGAAGGGGACACATGCTCTGAATCTGACAGCGACCCCAGAGCAAGAGAGACGGATGCATCGGGCAATGGAGGAACTCCTTTGAGGAACCCCATTAGGTGTACTCTATCTGGTGGGAAGACAGAAATTTATTGCAGAAAGAGATCTTTGGGTTCATTCAGCCCATTTCAGCCATTAAATAGCTTGTTCTCTGATCGTGCATGTATTTGGTGACATTCTTAGATTTGATTAGTATACTGAATATGTCCTTTTCTCTTTACCTTTCTAAATGGGTTGGAATGAAATAAACTATCATCTTTGTCCATTTTAATGCAAGTTTGCTCCAATTACATTCAACCCTTCACATAAATGTTCTCCAGGTGAAAGCTGGAATAAAGATGTAATAGGTGGTATGGGAAGGGATGGACAGCCACCCTGGGGTGGACATGGAAGACCAGGTGTGTCAACGCAGGATATTCAGTTAAAGGGGCACTGGATTCCTCTTGGGAGAAGCCGCTCTAAGCCCGAAGCCATGAGAAGGAACATGGGACCTCAACACATTTCAAGCCATTTTTAGGTTATTTTCTAGGTTTTTAGGTTTAGCTCACTGGAGAGTCTGGTGCACGGTGGCATCGCATCTCTGCAGTCGCTCTTCGCAGGGCGGGTGAACACTGCTGGTGTAATTAGTTCAACACTGCAGGGACTGTGAGTGACACGCAGCCTGTGGAACCGTCAGAGCCATCCACATCTCCCTCGGTGACCGAGCGGCAGAGAGAGGAGCCAGCTCTTCTTCATTAAACGGAATTAACCAAGGGTGGGGTCGCCCTCCAGTCTGTTAACTAATCGCATCATGCCACCTGTCCCCTCCCCAGGACCCCACATAGGGTGGAAGAGATGAGACACAAGATGGCAGCTACCAAGAGTGGTCAGGGCCCAGGTCTCCCGGCCAAATCTGGTTGGGGTGGGACAGAAGGGAACGAATACCTGTGGGCACTGACCCAGTCCAGGCCCAGTGCTGGGCCCTTCACCAGGTGGAGGGCTGTAACAAGCAGCACGTGAAAGACTGCCCGGCACCGTGGGAGGTGCCTCCTCCTGGCGGGAAGGCAGGGCCAGGGAAAGCAGGCAGTGAGGACACTTCCTGTGGGGCATGAACCTCCTGGGAACCCGTGCAGGTGACCAGGGCCCTGGGCTCTAAGAGGAAGCCATGGCCCTGCCAGGTAGGGGGCTTTCAGAAGTGACTTCCCTGCCGTCCCAGCCTTTGATAAATCCAGCTGGTTTTGCTGCCTCTGCAGAGCCAGAGGGTGGAAAGGGAAACAGTGTGCTGAGGGCAGCATGGGGGAGGCAGAGGGGTTGGTGGGGAATATTCTACAATATGTGAACCTAATGAGGAAGGGGAACTAGGAAGCAGGGCTGGCTGTCATTCACAGGAATTCAGGAGACAACTTTTCTCCCAGGACACTTCCGCTTCCATAATAGCAATGGATGTGTGTGGGGGAGGCAGGTTCAACCTGTAGCAAACAGGACTGGACTGGGGAAGCACACCCCGAGGGCAGGAAGAAGCGGGGAGGGCACCTGTCAGGAGCAGGAGAACCAGATGACCTGCCCGTGCAGGCAAACACAGCTCCTGGCAACAGGAAGACCCTAACTCACCCTAGCTCACTTCCCCGTTTCTTCTCTGCTTCTGCCCCAAATGCCTCTGTTCTTGGGCAAGCAACCGACCTATCTGTGCCTCAGAAACAGGAAGGGCCAGTGCTAGAGTCCGTCCTGCTCCAGAATCTCAAGGAGGGAAACACCCTGGTTACTTGGCCTGACCCAGCGTGGAGACCGCAGACAGCGGCCCCGCTGCTTCCATCTGGGGAGGCTCTGGGACAGTCACACGGTTTTTCCTGAATGACAGGCCACAACCAGAGTGTGTAAACTATCGCCTGAGGCTGAATGCAAGAGGCAAAAGCCCCTTCATAGATTTCCTGGGATGCTGCCAGGTAGATGAAAAGAACCTAAGTCCCCATGTGCGCAACAGGCATATTCCCAGATACAATTCTACAAGAGCAAGCCAACCGTGGCTGCAGAGAGAGGATGGGCAAAGGGGACTTGCTGGGAAGAAACTCAGAAAGCATTACCTTGAGCTTGGGCAGGCGCTTGATGGTCTTCAGAGGCCTCAGCACGCGGAGCACCCGCAGGGACTTGATGGTCTTGATGTCCCGCCCCTTGTTGGTTCTGCAGGGGAAAAGTCCCCGGGGAAGCCCAGGACGGGGAGAAATGAAAGTGACATTCACATTTCTGCATTAACCACGGAGTAAAGGGGGAGAGGTAGGCCAAAGGCCAGGACTTGGGTCCTTCTGGGAGACGCCACAAAACATGCATTGGGAAACTTTTCAAGGCACTCCCCAGTGTGCACACTCTCATATGCACACACACATAAGTATCCTCACATAGAGGCACACACAAGCACACACGCACACACACAGAGGCATCCATGCACACATGTTAATGACCACTTCCTCTCCCTATCAGCCAGTGGAATGTTGCTAAGTAGCTCACTGGCAAAATGAACAAGGAAGAGAACTTGACTAGGGAACATGATGGTCACACACGGTGGATCCCCGCGGTGCCCAGGCTACTGCTTCTGCAGTGGTAGACCCGCCGATGACATTGGTTAAAGGAATTAGTACCCCATGGTTGAGAGCAAGTCTCCTTAGGGGACTTGACCTCGCCCTGTCTTTGGCTCTAGGTTTGTCACCTCAGCAGAGCTTGTCAGCTCAGGGGAGAGCAGGGTGAGGAAGGCTGGTGGGGACCTGACACCCTTGCTGTGCTGGGCTGCCTATTCCAGAGACGGCATGTCATGCAGGCTTCTTGCCAGGACCTTGGCTCACACCCCAGTGATCCGTATGGCTGGCTCTTCCCGCAGTCCCTCCCCATTTGAGATGCTGTGCGCCCAGCACAGACTGCAGAGAGCCCTGCGCTGGGAGAAGGCCCAGACTGCAGTGCCTGCCCACCTCCATCCTCCCCCACAGCCAATGGCCCACCCTCTGCAGCCTCTTGGCAACGTTTGCTCCTTACAGATCATTTCTTTTTAGTTTGAATGAAGTGAATAAATCAACCTGCAATTTCTCTCTCCACCCTGCTCATCCCCTGAGATCTTTGCATTCAATTCAAACAACTGCAGTTTGTAAAACACGCAGACGGTGCGGATGAGACTCTCAGCAGTGAGCTCAGGCTCTGGTTCTTCCCTCGTGTGGGCCCAGGCGACCATCACACCAACTACCTGAGCAATGGGTCCCAGACCATCCGATGGGCCCTTCCTGTCACACCCCCCATAGGGAGGTAAGTCCATCCCAGGTCGGAGACATTTAATGTAATTCAAGAAATGCTGGCTATGCTCAGATTGTAAATTTAAAGACCCTCTTAAACCAGCAACTAAGGCCATGACCTACAAGTCACTTTTAGTCAACCCTAGAGGTGAACACAGATAATCCAAACATGTCACATCGATAAGGTCATTTGCATGCAGGGGCTTTGTATATTTTATAAACTTTTTTACTGTATCAGGGTCATCTATCTACCTATCTAAAAAAGGCAAAGCCAAATCCATATTCAAACCAATCAGAAGGGTCACTTCCCAAGAAGGCTTGGCGACTCCTAATCTGTATTCTCTTGGGTTTCAGTGGAAACTCACCGCTCACGTAAACGCACTGTGCCTTCCTTCACCAGCCACTCTTCCCTCCCAAGCATGCTTTCTCCCGCCTCCCACCCAGGCCCGAGTTCTTTCTTCAAAGAAAACTGAGAATAATATTTACCCCAAAGCGTTTCTATGGAGGATCCGAGCAGAAGGCAGTTTAAAAAAGAGAGAGAAGAGGGGATGGGGAGAAAGAAGATCAGAAACTTCATGGACAAAGGGAACTTTACAAGACAGGAAACTGGAGGCGCACAGGCCTGTGAGGGCCCGCTCACAGCCTCTCAGCCTTGGCACCCGCAGAACCCACAGGCTTTGTGAAAGGCAGGCCAGCACCCACGCGCTCCCCCACCTCCTCCCACTTGCAAAGGCAGAGGGTGCGGCTGCCTCCATCATCGTACTTTATTCCACTGAGCCTAGAGTAACTGAAGTTTTAAATGCGAGCTTTTATTTCCATCTCTTTAGTCATCTTTAGACAAACACTTACTGTTTCCAGTGAATTTATAAGAAACCAGCTGGAGGAATTACACCTGTTCTGGGCCAGAGTTCACCTCTCTCGAAGGTCATTCAAGTCATCCTGCCATATTTATGCTCATGAAGGACTTCATTCAAACAGGGGCCACGTGATCAAGCTAGGGGCACTCTGTCATCTTTAAAAAGCACAGATGAGTGTTTCATTCAAACAGGGGCCACGTGATCAAGCTAGGAGGGGCACTCTGTCATCTTTAAAAAGCACAGATGAGTGACACCATAAAACTGCCTCGAAATATGGGGAAGGCGTGGTCTGTCAGGGTCCCCATGTCACACGAAGGGATGGCTTTTGATAAATTAAATGACCAATTGTCCATCGTGAGCTATTTACTGTACAACTTGGGGAAAAAAATCATCTGAGCTCTACTGGTGAGGCGTAACAACAGCTTGGCACATACCCAGGTTGCAATAGATGTTTCTTTCACACACCAATGTTTCTCTGTCTCTCCCTTCTCCCGCTCTCTAAAATTAATTTTAAAAACATATCAAAAAAAGGGTGAGAGCATAAATGTAAAATATTTGAGATGAAATAAGGAGAGCTAGCTTTTTACATGTTTCTTCCTGGCTAGAGTCTGAGCTAAGCACTTGCAGTGCAACTCTTTATTTGGACGCCCTAATAACCTTAGGGCGTAGGTGTTACTATCCCTGTTTTATAGAGAGATTCGGAGAGGCTGAGTGAGCGCCCGGCCTTGGCAGGGCGAGCTGGGCTGTGGTGCTGGGACCTCTTGCTCTGCACTAGGCCTCTGCACCAGCAGGCTCTGCTCTGGACTCCGTCAAACAGCGCACCGGATTCCAGGGCCGGAACAGATCCCTGAGGTCCTCTTAACTGCGAGGCACCGGCGGCCGGGAGATGGGCCTTGCATAAAATGGCCCGGAGAGTGAGCTGCAGTACCTCATGACCTGGCCTGCTGCTATGAGGCAGTGCCTAGAATTCAGGCTTTGGTTCTTAGTTGCTGGTTGCAGTGAAGATAATTTCTCTTAAAATTTTTTTTTAATGTGCCATAAACCTATGTTATACCACCATATACCACAAAAACTTCTAAATACCATTTTACTCAGTAAATGGTCCCGTATTCAAAATTATATTAATTTCACTGCAAATGACAAATGGATACTAATTTGGGAAGTAAACCCAAGGCCCCCTAAACCTTAAATCCATTATGGGATAATCTCCAAATGTTAAGCGGGCAGAGATAATACCTTCCCCTAAATGGCAACAGCATCTTCTCACCCAGGATACCAGGTTGGTCAGTCAAGTATCCCTTTATGCGTTCATATAACAGCATTGGTGGAGTACTTGACATATGTCAGCGACTCTTTCTAGGTGCTGGATACACAGCTGTGAACAAAACAAACGAGATCCCTCCCCTCTTGAAACACCCAGTCTAGCAGGGAAGACAGGCCTCAAGTCAACAAATCTAAGTGAAACTGTACGCTCAATGCTACGGAAAACCGGAATCATTTGATTGAAAAGTTTACGAAAACAACAACATAGGACATAGGTCACCCTCCCCACTGCCCCAGCTGCATTCGTCTTGAGCAAAAGCTACGGGAGAACCTTCCCTATCCCCAAAATGAGAGAACAGAGTGGGATCAATGGCCGGGCAGGTGGTCAGGGGTCCCACACTCCAGGCGCTCACTCTTGCTTGACCAGGTCCTTAACCCCAAGACCTTTATATCCAGAAGCATCTGAGCAGGTCCTCGGAGGTTCATACTGACACCCATCTTAGGAAGAAAGGCTCAAGCATTCTCGCTCCTCCCACACAGCTGGGTAAGGACAGAATTTTCTCTCTACAATAAATTACGCCCTAGAATCCCAATATAATATCATACTATGGAACCAAGGGGATCTCTGACCACCCTAGGGGGTGTCCCTTGTTTTAGAAAACGGGGCGCCATGATGGTACGCTCCGATCCTAGGGGTGGAGTGTAGCTGTCCATGTACTGTGAGGAATGGGGCTCTGTGCCCCACTCTTGACTCCCACAGATTTGAGTCAGGGAGGGTAATCAGACATGGGTCAAAAGTAAACCATTTCCCAACAGGCCTCACAGTGCAGAGGAGCCGCTGAAAAGCTCTGATTTTGAGTGGCTGCAGAAAGGCTCGCTTGCATTCTCAGTTGTGTTAACATATGTTCAGCGCTGGTTTGAAAATTGCCATTTGAAGTGAAAGGAATGCTGGGTAACAAAGCCAGAGAGTCAGGCATAGCCTCAACAACTTAGCCCCCGTTCATTGAAACAGACCCTTATTTACACATGGGCTAGGGCCTAGCCGCTAGGCCAAAGGACCTTTCCCAAACCCACGCATGTAAGAATTATCCAAGCTGATGTCCAAGTCAGCAAGACCGCACAGGAGAGGTCTTATCAAACTAGCAACACAAACTCTTCCAGCACTTTAATTCATGTGCTTTTTTAATACATCATTTAAATATAACCATCCCATAATCCTTTGCTAGTTGTTGCTATTAAATATATAATCAGATTTATTATTGTTTTTTTACACTGCCTAGCTAATGAGTGAAATTTTACCAGGTTTAAAAATGGACTCTAATGTTAAAGTCTGAGGATAATTTCACAGGCTAGGATACCCTGGTCCCACTTTAATTGGGACTTAATTGGGCCACACGATCTTCCATTTACTTCCCACTTACTTGGTAAGCTCCCGGCAGCTCTCCAGAAAATAACGCCATGTTTCTCTTATGTCTCATCAGTAAAAGATGAGACTTTTCTAGCTCAGTTGCCAAGTGGCCCTCCAGATCCTTCACGCGTAATCACTCATCACTCACTGCAATCTTGCCCTTCAGCTTCCAGTCCCCTGTCCTCGAAGAACATGCTCTCAAGTGGATTTCTGCTAGAACCCAACTCTCCTTGCACGGGGACAGAGTGGGGGTGTTGCGTCTTGGAGAGCCTTCCCTCCTTAGGTGGCATGGCCTTCCGTCCCCCCCACAAACCCAGGACAGAACAGCAGGGGGTCTGAGGGCATGTCTTGCATTAGGAATAGACAGGTTTGCTGAAAGGAAGGCGAGGGCAGGGGCCGTGCTGGAAGGAGCCCTGAGCCTTGCTAAAAAGTGTCTGGGCTATTATTTGGTAGGCAAAATAACTACCATTTATTACACATTTTCTAAATCCTCGGCACTATATTGAACACTGAATGCATTTCACCTTATTTAATTCTCACAAGATCAAAAAACAGTTATTTTTAATTTCCACGTGCAGATGAGCAAGTGGATGTCCAGAGAGTGAAGGCAGCTAACCGTGAAGAGGGCTGAGATTCAGACCTAAGGTTACCTGACTCTCAAGCCTATATTTTTATTTCTGATGTCACAATGCCTTTCCACGCGGAAACCACTGGAGGCTTTTAGCCAAAGAAGGAAACAGACAAGGAACCAGCGGTTCCCGAGCTCAAACATTGAGCTGTCTGCTCTAGCATCCTTCATCAGACCGGGGCCGATGAGGGCTCATGGAAGAACCAGGTACAGACAGAAAAGCAAGATGGACAAGGTCAGAGATGCCTTCTCCATCAGGCACACAGGCCTTGTCCATCTCCAGGCAGAGACAGAAGCAGCTGGAGGCCGAGGACAGAGCCACACCAAGCCACTGCTTGGAGCTGACAGGGGTAATGGCTTGGAACTAACTAGAATATCTGAGACAGAGGGGAGCGACATGTTGTGGAGAAAGCCCTGAACTTGAAATAAAATTAAAAAACCAATTGTTTAAGAACTGGCTTTGCTATGCACAAGTCAAATAGTCGAACCTCAGGCGATCCATTTCTCAAGTGTAAAGTAGGCCTGTCTGGGACAAATGACATACAGAGGTGAAAGCGCTCTAAACTCCAAGCCCCATGGAAACGAGGAGGCAGCTCTTGCCTCTGCACTGGCAGCGCTCGTCTCTGGAGAGGGAGCTCCAAGGCCAGCACTTTGACCTCGTCACTGCTTAGCTGTGGCCAAGTGGGAGGGTCCCTCTTCTTCCTGACCCATCCCTCAGCATTTCGCGGTCACCCATGAGCTCTACATCCTCTGCTTCTTTCTTTGCTCTGGGACCAGAGCCTGGCTCTATGCTAATTGGTTAGTGCAGAATTCTTTCCTTCTTGCACGTGGACCTCGACAAGCTCCCTGAACACACTCATGTTGGCCTTTGCACATTTCTCCTTGGCAAACACAGCACCATACTCTCACTGGAAGGCACTTTAGTCCAAGCTCGGAGCCGCGGCAGGAGACAGCAGAGCGGCAGACCGTCTCCTAGCAATTTTGTTATTCAATCTGGTCAATCTAGTGACCTGATGTCTTGGTTCTTAGTCTTCACATTCTAAATACCCCAAACCTTCTCATCGGCTGATCTTTCTAAGAAGGTCTAGGTACTGGCTGAAGTTCAGCCAGATACACCCCCTCACACATACCAGCTGGAGACTAATTCATAATGCTAGGCTGTGCCTCTGCCAGTGTGGATTAAGCAGATGGCTGGCGGGTCACATGATCGGAGCTGACACTTCCCCTCATGACCTCCTCTGACCTGAATTATTCTAAAACTACTTTCAAATGTGAGGACAGTGTGAGTGGTTTTTCCTAATCCCGCAGGACCTGGCTCTCCCATGGCTGGGAAGGTTCTGTGCAGGGGGCTAACATCTGGGTCTCGGTATCCATATTGTTGGTTACCACATGGATGGGGCCATGCTCTCTGATGGGTCCATTTTGTTCTGCTTGGTTCTGGGTCTCTCGGAACAACATCTTTCTATCTGTTCACTGCTAAGGTGCCATTTCCGACCAACCGTCTCCCAAATCTGGGCTTGTTAATCAAGAGAAAATGCTTGGGCATTCACACCCATGGCCTCCATATGATGACGGTCTCCAAGCCCACTTCCCAGAGGGTCCTCCAACAGCACATGTCACAGAGGACACATGCATACTGGGACTCAATGCCAAGAGCAGGTAGACTGGGAACTTCTCTCTCTCTATCAGGCACTCGCTCTATGTGGCTCTCACTTTGTCCCTCCCTCCACCCTCCCAAGGCAGCCAGAGTATAATATAGCCCTGGGCATCCCAAGAGTCCATGGGCATTAATCATCTGTAGTGTCCCTGCCTGGCGCAAAGTCAGGTAAAGTCTCTCTCGAGGGGACTCTTCAAGTTGGAGTCTCGCGGAACAGCATCTTTCTCTCCGCTCACTGCTGGAAATTTCCAATTCCAGCTCAGCCGGCAGCCTAAGTCCAGTTAATGGGCTACCTGACGGCTAAATTTAATTTTAATCCTTCATTTGCTTCCCCAGAACAATGGAGCTGGACGACCTGTCTCGCTCAGTGGTAAATGGGTCCTCTTTGCATGAAGCAGAACTCTGTCCACTCTTTTGTCCCCTCTACAAGATTAATGTGTACTCAGAGCTTCCTTTGGGAGACCCCCGCGCTTTCAGTTCTTTCTTGGGGTGCTGCCAAGAAAGAAGCCAAAAAGGCAAAGCTTGAGGTTTGAGGGGGACTGCCTTGGATGCAGCCAGGTGTCAGGTGAGCTGATGGTTCTAATGTCCCTATGCTCTGCTGACCGTGAGCACAGACTCGCATTTCAGTTCTAAATGGTTATTCCTTTCCTAGGTGCCCCCCTTCACGCCTTCCCAAACACAAGCTCCCAAAGCTACACCAGCACCCGAGTACCAGATCCTGGGGCTCCTCGAGGATCTCCCCTTCCAAATCTAAAATCGCCTGAGCCTGTGTAAGTCATTGAACAAAGTCAGAACCAGCTCTGCCGCTGCGGCGAGCTCTGCGTGCCTTCCACAGACCTTATCCATCTTCGGGCCCTGTGTCGGTGTCAGGAGAGTGACATACTTCAGTGAGAAGAATGTAATAAAAGCCAGTGTGGGAACTCCGGATCCTGCTGGCATCAAGAGGCAGACTGACTCATGCTCCTTCCCGGCCCAGGACTGAGGAAGGAAAGGCCAGATGCGGCTGTGATCCAGCTCCCCTGCGTGGCAGGGAGTCCTGACCTCCCCTCGCGCCCTGCGACGATGGCACACAGCAACGGGAAGCTCTGGCACCAGCTGCCACAGAGCCTGCGTGAGACTGACTGATGCCCAGGCTCAAGTTGGGGGAGGGGGAGGTGGGAGCAGAATCGCTACTTTTCTTTTAAACTATTTGCCTTGACAAGCCATTATAAGCGGTGAGTTTACGATTTAGCATCCAGTGCAGGACAGCGCACCTGGCAATCTGACTTGAGCTAGGCAAGCAGCGTGTAGAGCAACGGGAATGAAGAGTGAGGGCCTGGGGTGGAGTGTAGGGTCACACACAGGGTCCTGTCCTCTCCTGTGTCCCCTCCTGAGGCGCTGTCCCCGCCCCCTGCCTGTCCAAAGCCTTTCACCGAACACTGAGGACCCGACACCCGAGGGCCAGGCAGCACCGCATCTCCGTGCAGGAGCCCAGAAGGCTCACAAACTCAACCTGGCACAGTGGCCACATGACTTCCCTACCAGCAGCTGAGTCTGGAGGTGGGGGTGCCTCAGGGAGAGATGAAAGGTCCCAGCTGAGGAAATCTCCCAGAACTGCCTCTTTGTTCCAGAGAATCGAGCAATGAAAGGGTCCAGCAGCCATGCCGGGCTCCCTCCCTGAGCCCATGGAGGCACTGCCCACACAGGTGAGCCCCTGCCCACGTTTAATTATCTCCAGGAAAGGAGCACCAGGCCTTGGACAGCTCCCTAGTGACTCTCCCCGCTCCTCCTGAGAGAATCGAGCAATGAAAGGGTCCAGCAGCCATGCCCTGCTCCCTCTCTGAGCCTATGGAGGCACCGCCCACACAGGTGAGCCCCTGCCCACGTTTAATTATCTCCAGGAAAGGAGCACCAGGCCTCGGACCGCTCCCTAGTGACTTTCCCCGCTCCTCCTCCACCAGCCCTGGCACTCAGGGCACTCAGGGGCTCTGCAGGGCCCCAGGGCAGCATTCCGGGCACCACTCTGCAAGAACCATTTCTCAGGCTGTCCCTGGAGATGGCCTCCCCTGGGCCAGGGTCTCAGGAGGGAGGGAGGGAGGGAAGGTAATCCAACAGGAGAGAGAGTTACTTACGCCAAAGCAAAGGCCACCAGCGCACCAACCACCACCACGAAGTCCAGAATGTTCCACAGGTCTCGGAAGTAGGACCCATCCTGCAGAATCAAGCCCTGGTCGATCATCTGCAGAAGAAGTGAACAGCCGCTGATGAGGCGGAGGGGCAGGCAATGTGTGCCCTGAGCTCTGGGCTCCCCAGGCAATGCCTCCACTGCCATCGCCCCTACAGCCAACCCCACATGGGGCCTGAAGAGCAGAGGACTGGCTCTCTTCATGTAACTGAAGCCCGAGGTCCCATCTCATAGCCACCAGGGCTCAACTAGGCCCCTCAGCTGGCACAGAGCCCTGACACGTCCCTCCTTTCCTTATGGCTCACCCACCGGGCACTGCCACACATACACACAGATGGGAAAAACCCCAGATGGGTGAGGCTGGGAACGAGAGAAATGTGGGTGTCAGGGTGATGGGGAACAGACCAGAGGCAGTGAGTGCAGCTGGGACTAAACAGAATCCAGGAAAACTCGACCCTACCTAACCCTTTGCCTTGGCACATACCCAGGCTCAAGCCAGTGAGCGCTGGGTAGGCGACTGCTGTCCCCAGTGTCTGCACTCCCATTGCCTCCCGGGAGTGGGCCTGGCTCCCCCTCTGGCCACACCCACAGGGCTGCCCCAGCCTGAACAGCCCTCCTCAGTCACATCCTGCCAGGAGGGGCTTCATCAGGATCCTGAGGCCGGAGGAGGGGTTTGCAGAGACCAGTACTGAGGTTCTGTCACTGGCCAGTAGGTGACAGCATAGGGGAAGGTCACTAAGCTAGAGGAGCAAACAGGTGACCTATCCCAACCCCACCAGGTTTCCTCTAGAGCAGTAGTTCTCAACCTTCTGGCCCTTTAAATACAGTTCCTCATATTGTGACCCAACCATAAAATTGTTTTTGTTGCTACTTCATAACTGTAATGTTGCTACTGTTCTGAATCGTAATGTAAATATCTGATATGCAGGATGGTCTTAGGTGACCCCTGTGAAAGGGTTGTTTGACCGCCAAAGGGGTCGCGACCCACAGGTTGAGAACCGCTGCTCTAGAGGCTCTTACCTTTATAACCATCTCAAAGGTGAACACGCCAGTGAAAACATAGTCAAAATACCGCAGGACCTGGAAGACACATACCGTGCAGGGGAGGAGGTTATGCGTGGTCACGGAGACATCCCTGCCCGCCCACCCAACGCCCACTCATTTCCACCACAGAACAGAAGCTTGGAATTGCAACCACTAGCTGGGTGCAGAGAAAAGAGGAGCCATGGGTCCGGTTGGAGCCACATGACATGGGGGCCAGTCCTAGGCCCTTCCCTCCCCGTGGCCAGAACTTATCTTCTTGGGTCTCAACTGCCCCACAAACCTTCACCCCAGTTCTGGCTCAGGATCTGAAATCCTTGTCAGTTCCCATCCTCCCTGCCTCCCTCCTACCTCCTGACATACACCCTTGGAACCCCAGTCTGTGCTCCTTAACTTCACCCCCATGTCCTATGCCAGACTCCACATCCAAGCCCACAGGTGGCTGCAGAGACCCCTTCATAGCCCTGTGGGCTCCAGCGGGCCTCACTCCTTCCTCATTCCCCAGGAACCTTCCTCAGGCCACCTCTGATGCTGGGATGGGGCAGGTACCAGGGCTCTGGGGAGGTTGGCGAAGGGCCCAGTGCACCCACTCTGTTGCGCTCCGAGTTGGTCAGGACCGGGTCCTCGGCCGCCAGGGCGATGCTGCTGGCCGCGATCACCAGGAGAATGCACATCTCAAAGTAGCGCAAGTTCACGATGTAGTGACAGGCCCTGCGGATCCTGCGGGTGGATGAGCCTTGAGCCACCGCCTCCCTCCGTCCCCATCGTGCCTCCCCACCCCCGCACACAGGCACAATGGCCTCTTCCAGACAGCCAGGCCCTGGCCAGAGGAAGCCTTGGGAAGAGCAATTTAATTTCTCAGGCACCACCCTTGATTTAAAGCCCCAGAGGGGGAAGGTAATCAGATTGGCTGGAGGCTGCTGTACACAAGCCAAGACGCATTATCTGCAAGCACATCTGAGCTGTGGGGCGCAGCCAGCATCAGAAGACACACACTCGGGGTGCCCTCCACTGTATCTCAATGTATAGAAACTGGGGCAGAGCAAGCAGATCAGAAGAACCAAGGAACATAAAAATAGACCTTGATTCTAAGCTTCCTGATGAAAGCAGCAACAGGTTTTCATGAGTTCCAGGCATTCTGATTACAGAGACTATATCCCATGGACTGCATTCTGGCCCCGGGTGGCCTGACAGTCCTTAGCCCCGGTTCCTGTCTTCCCTGACCCTTGCTGGGATGCTGCCCACGTGGCCCCGGGAAGCCTGCTTGTCTTGTCTTCCTAGCCTCAGAAGCTGGCCTACAGGTATACCTTGCTCAGGTAAAGGGCAGAAGAAAGCTTGCCTTTCAAAATCCCATTTTTCCCGAGTCCAACCTTCCAGACTTTTCTCTGCCAACCCCACCTCATGCCCCTAAACACACCCACTTCAAAATCCACAGGGATTCGGGATTAAGCAGTGGGATCAATACTCGTAACTGCCAATGGATGACCCAATCATTACAGGCACCATCGTCTCAGCTATGGGCCATTTGGTAACACATCCCAAGTAGACTTCCTCCTCCCTACCCTCCACTGACCGAAGAAAAGGTGAGTGTCCTTTCCTCATGACATTTGCCATGCTTTCCTGTCTTAAATTACTCTCTAGACCAGTGATGGCGAACCTATGACACGCATGTCAGAGGTGACACGCGAACTCATTTTTTTGGTTGATTTTTCTTTGTTGAATCGCATTTAAATATATAAAATAAATATCAAAAATATAAATCTTTGTTTTACTATGGTTGCAAATATCAAAAAATTTCTATATGTGACACGGCACCAGAGTTAAGTTAGGGTTTTTCAAAATGCTGACACGCCATCACTGCGCTAGTACCATACTGTTTTTTATTGCTGTAGCTTTGTCACACACAAAGTGTGGTACCTCCAGCTTCGATATTTCTCAGGATTGGTTTGGCTATTTGGGGTCTTTTGGGGTTCCATACAAATACAACGATTGTTTTTTTTTTTCTATTTGGTGAAGAATGCCATTGGTATTTTGATGAACATGTGGATGTCTTCAGAAACCTTGTCACATGTGAGAATGGAGCCCTTGGTGATCCACCAGGGATGGGATGGAGGGGCTGGGAAGGGGCCCTGGGAAGGTGCTGAGGGAGGTGCCCTGCACATATGCAGTGTTTGTTAGTTACACAGAGTCCAGCTCTTGCTCTCCTCCTAGCTTTACCCTAATTTTATGTGGTATAGCCTTTGCCATATAAATCATTCATTCTTACCACATTTCCCTGGGTAACGGAAGGTTGGTTTATGTCAGGGGCCCTCAAACTACGGCCCGCATACCACATGCGAATACAAATATTGTATTTGTTCCCGTTTTGTTTTTTTACTTCAAAATAAGATATGTGCAGTGTGCATAGGAATTTGTTCATAGTTTTTTTTAAAACTATAGTCCGGCCCTCCAACGGTCTGAGGGACAGTGAACTGGCCCCCTGTTTAAAAAGTTTGAGGACCCCTGGTTTATGTTGTAAAGTTTACAAAGTTTATTTATCTAAAATCTGGATTCTTTGTATTTATTCACTTATTGAATTTTCACATCAATAGCTACTGAATGGCATGCATTATTGTTTCCATTATACAGATGGGAAAAGTGAAGTTGAGGGAAGTCAAGTATCTATCTTCAGGTCCTACAGCCAATATGGTTTCCGGTCTAAAATCCTATATCCTTTCAATGAAATCACACTGCAATGGAAGATTTTTAGAAACCATTCCTCTGTTTGTAGCTGCCTTCCTGGCTGTGCTTTTTCCAGTCATGATTAATGCAGAGATGAGAATGCAATATTCATGCGAATATGGGTGCAAGACTACATTCAGGATAGAGAGGATGAAGGGATCAGGACTGAGTGGAGCTCTTGGGACCACTACTCCCTGTTTTATACTCGAGTCACAGTGGGGTTAGGGGCAGAGAGGTCAAGGCTACCAAGTAGGCCAAGGGGGTCCTGTCAACCTCCCCCACCAATCCCTTCAGTGGGTGACTCTACCCTGGAACCTTATGTGAGCATCAAAGCTCTGAGGGTCCGCCCCTTCTGGGACCTTCTATGAAATAAGTCATCCAAACTATCCAAAAGCCCTCTGATAACATGCTCTTACCTATCACCAAGGCCAGGGACTGGAGCCAGAATGGGAACAAAGAGAGGGTCCAACTTTCTTACTAATTCTCATAGAAGAGGGGCCTACATACTTATTTATTGGAGCATAAAATTAAACAGACCCCAAAAGAGGTTGGGAGTCTGAGATCCTGAGACATGAACCGGATGAGCCCAGGAGTCCTGGGCCTGGGAGATGTCACCTGCCCAAGCAGCACTGGCACTGTCAGTGTAGAGAAGGTGAAGGGATAGAGACGTAACAGGGTAAGCAGGAGACGTAACAGGGTAAACAAGAAATGCCAGACTGTCCTATTAAGAGAGGAAATGGTGGAGCAAGTCAGGGAGGGAGAAAAGCAAGGGTAGAATCCTGTGGTCATAATTCAGTGACCATGGGATTAGGTCTGGAATGGGGGTGGGGTTAGGGCAGGAAATGGAGGAGTTAGGACAGGCCGGGGATGGGTCAGGGCAGAGATAGGGTGCCGGTTTAGTGCTTTCTTGCCCTGTTTCCCTTGAAGGGCTCCCAGAGAACTGGAGAGAAAGTGACTAAAACCTTGGAGGAGAAAAACAGTAGATAAGAGTAATAGATTCATAAAATGTTAGTACAGAGACCTCAGAATCACCAGTGGTCTCACTTCATAGGTGACAAACAGGCCTGAAGTAGGACAGAGGCATTCTGGAGGCCATGCACTAGGCTGAGCCAGGCCACCAAGCCCTCCTGCCACCTCTGCCCCATCCGAGGCCCCCTATTTGTCCAGGTGGCAGAGCACCTTGGAAGTCCCAGAAACGCCCATCAAATGTTGATACAAGTCAAAGAGCTGAATCTAAATCTGGGTCCAGACTCATGTGTGATCTTTCCAAAGACTCTAGGGTGGTCACAGGGCTTAAGGACATTTTATGGCCTAAAGTTAAGATTGAGAAAATTCTAACTTATTTTTCCTGCACGTCGGGTGAAAACTGTCCTGTTTTTCACTTATTGAAGAATGATTTTATCCTGCTGGTGGGGTTTTCCACGCAGCTTTCCTGGGGTGACTCTGGAGCCACGACTCCCCCCAACAACTCCCCCCAGACCAGGTGGCAGGGGTGACGGGGACAGGACTGTGTCCTCACTGTGCACCACGGTCGAGTCCACCAGGGGGTCCACGTCAGGGATGGCGACAGTGACGCTGGTGCTCTCGGTGGCAGCCTTGTCCGTGTTGGCCGTGACGCAGGAGAGGTCGGGCTCGCTCTGGCTGACCCGGCCCACGTTCAGCTGCACGTCCCCCAGCAGGGCTTGCTCACTGCTGCCCTCAGGCTCCTGCTCCGTCAGCGCCTTCCCCACTTCCGGTTCTGTGTTTGGCGGGACGAGGGGGGTGTCAGCCTCATCGAGGGCTCCTGCCAGCCCAGAGCCTCGGGGCACCATCAGACTGTTGGTCCTGTCAAGACAGAGGAGGACACAGTTGGGGCTCAGATCTGAAGATGCTGTTTCAAAGCGGGGAGAGGTGAGGGGAGCCCGAGGAGCCCTGCTGGGGACCCTGGGGCCTCTGCTGCCTCCCACCCCGACGGGCAGAAAGGAGCTAAGACCCAGGGGCCCTGCCTCTACCTCATTTCCATCCACCCTCCCATGACCCACTCCTGATGGGAGGTACCCTGGAACAGAGGCTGGTTTTCAGGGGGACAGAGCCCACTGCCCATCATAGTTGCACATACCCTGTACCAGGTGCACTAGCACCACCCCCACTGGACAAAATGAGGCTCAGAGGCTTATACTGAAGAGTCTCCACCACCAGCCGCGCTACGTGCCTCCAGGTGCTCCTGGGACTTGTTACCTCCTCAAGTCCTGGGCTCTCTCTTCTTCCTGGATCGTGGGCTCCTTGCCCCCATGGCCGCCCCTGGGCTCGCGGTCCTTCTCCCCCTCGGTGGGCGCGCTGTCATCCAGGCCCCGCTCCTGGCTGGCCGACCGGCTCTGGGAGGCAGAGGAGGGCTCCTTGCCTTCTGTCCTGACTCGGCGGTGCCGGCTGCGCCGCTGGCTCTGCCTGTGCCTGGCCCGGTCCTCAAAGGTCACCACCGCCTCCCCTCCCCCAGACTCCTGCTGGGTCGGGTCACAGTTCCCATGGCAGGGCCTGGCCAGCCACGGCGGCTCCCGTTTGCCCAGCGGCAAGGGGCTCCTCTGGTGGTCCAGGGCACTGGAGAGGTCCCCTCCGTCCCCCTTGAGGGACCCCCCGCGGCTGATGCGCTCCTCCTCACACTTCTCCAGGCCCAGGCCCAGGGCCAGCCCCTCCAGGGGCCGGGATCTCCGGTAGAGGCTGGGGTGGGCGTTGAGCGGGTTGAGGGGGCTCAGTGGGTTGAGGGGGTTGAGCGGGTTCATGGGCGGGGCCTCCTCCTTGTTGAGGGCCTCCTGGCTGGACATCTGCATGTGCCGCCTCAGCTGGCTGGTGCGCTGCTCCCACACCGACATGTGGTGGCGGCGCCGCCGCTCCCGCCTGGCGAAGGGGAAAGGGGGAAGGCCGCGGTCAGAACCCGATGGCTGCAGGCCAAAGAGGGCAGCCCTCAGCGGCCATGGGGAAAGGGCAGGACACACGGTGCGAGGGGCACACGGGAGAGCCCAGGACCTGCAGACGGGAAGCACAGAGAGACGCAAGGAGCAGAGGGGGCCACGCAGCAACGGTGGTTGGACCACAGCCTCCCAGTTCATGGGCTTCCCACTTGGTTTCCCTGCTCTGCAGCAGCTGGGGGAGTGGGTGGGGGTGGGGTCAGCCCAGGACCCAGTTCCCTGTCCCCGGGGCCTGCAGGGCCGAAGTACAAAGGCGACTAGGTCTGCACTCCCTGCTCCAATTTGCTTTCAGGGCATCAACCTTCTCCTATTCTGTGCCCGCCACTGGCCCCTAGTTCCAGGCCAGAGACCCCCTTCCACCTGCTCCCCTCTCTTCTCCCTCAGACAAGCCTGGGGTTGCCAGGGCAGAGCAGTGCCAAGGTCAGAGTCTATCGAAGGGTGACCACGGGGATGAGCAGACCTATGTTACATAATGTCTTGGTGTCACCCTCACCAAAGCAGAGTACTGGGGTCTCTTCCAAACTTCGGAGGACCGTGTGTTCAAAGACCACCAGCAGCTCACCCTCAGAATGGCTGGGGAGCATTTCGGCTCCGGGCCGAGAGGAGCATTCACGTGGCAATGAGAACGCACCAACATGACACACAGGCGAGCACACGGGGCCCACACGGCGGAAGGGTAGCCACCTACGCCTTCCCCACACAGCTACACACTGTTAAGGGGACACTCGCAGGTGCCCACACACGCCCTCACTGAGGCCCCTGCGTGGCTGCACACAACTGCCTACGTGAAAGGTACAGCCACGCCGGCACAGGCCACTCACAGGCCACACAGAGAGCGAACAACGCGCAGGGGCACAGACCTGAGACACACAGAGACAAACACGTGTCGAAAGGGGCAGCGGGGCATGTCCACAAACCATGTGCATGGAACACACACGCACACACCACTGACGTGCACACCCGGCGCCACTTTGTCCACGGCAAGGACAAAGACACGGTGTCCCCGCACCCGCACATGACCACTCACAAACACGCAAACCGGTCCACACATACAGGTGGCTGCTGCGTGGCTCCCACATCGACATGTGGTGTCTTCTCCTTCTGTCTCTTCTGGGGAAGAAAAACGGACAGGTTCAGTTCACCCCGACCTCTAGAGCAACCACACGCCCCAGAGCCACCAGCGGGTTTCCAGGGAGAGGTATGGTCCCCAAGGCGCCCACACGCTCTCCGTACGCCCGCTGCCCTCTGCACACGCCCAACCACGCACTCTCCGAGGGAGTGACTTGATTCCTTGCTACGTGCAAACACGTGATCTAGGTTTTGAAGCGTACGAACAGACGCAAAGGATCCATTTCCATTTCATGGAGCAGACTGCTTCAGATGCTCAACCGTCACGCCCACTGGCACTCACACCACAACCTAAAGATCCTTCAGAGACCTATTACGGAGACAGATCTCTGGATGAAGAGCTGTATTTCCCCCGTCATTTCTAGATGAGCCCAGCACAGTCACATGGGTGTGAGCCCCACTCATCACTCCAGTCCCTCAAAACGTGCAGTGCGCAAGGGCTCTGCCACGCACACCATCGAGGCCACAGAAATAGCCCATGGCCGAAGGCAGGCCCACCCCTCCATGGCCGCCATCCACATTCTCTAGGATGCGAGTGGTGACCCCGCATTTATGCAACGCAGTGGCCCTGGCCAGAGGCCTTGAAGGTTTGGTCTGTTTAGCTGGGTAAAGCCCAGTATTAACCTTCTTGGCCTTGCACAGGGAAAACTCTCTTCTATACACACACACACACACACACACACACACACACACACACACACACTTGCTGTGCCCTTTCAATCAGGCAATGGAAGGTCAGAGAGGCAGGGTGTGGACACCACCCTCCAGGGCAGACAGGACTCCTGGGAAAATGAGACCGCCAGCTCAGCTCAACGCTCAGTGAGCTGGGACACCTGTGGCGAGAGCCTGGCAGACAGGCCCAGTCTGGCCCAACGGACCCTGCCTGGACCTGGAGGTTGGCAAATGCTGCTCCTTTCCTGATAAAAGTGACACCCACACATGGAGAACATGCTGGACAAACTAGCCCCGCCCCACGGCCACCCCTGTGTCTGCTGAAGAGGCCGGTCCTCCGTGGGGCTGGGGAGCGGGCAGCTGGGCTGAGCCTCCCTTGGTGCCTGGCAGAGGAGCGACGCACATGCGCACCCATGGGATGGACGCAGTCATCACTGTGCAGGCACCGGCGAGCTCCCCAACTGAATGCACCCCTTGGCTTCGCCAGCTGCGATGCGAGGAGGCACACGTGGGGTGGCGGTGCCGAGAGGCATGGGTGGCAGATAGAAATAAGGGCCCACACTTTACACAGGCCTCATGCAAACCCACCACGAAAAGCACATTCTAGCATCTAACTGCACATTCTCACATATTCAAATACTGGAGGCAGAGGCACGTGTAAGAGTGTAAGTGCACGAAGAATCCCCTCTTGGGTACGCATGCCTGAACACACTCAAGTGCACGCACACACATGCACGCACCAGGCAAAAGAGAAACCCAATTGCGGAATCCCACACAAATCAGGCACACACTTCAAAGCCCTCTTTACTTCTCACACATGAAAAGATCCACTTCCTGCCCCATCAGAATCATTAACGTACCTTCATTCCCCAAATCATACCGAGAAGCATCCACGTATCTCCAACCCATGCTTCTGTGACCTCACACGCAGCCCACAATTATCCCGTGGACCAGGAAGGCCAGTGAGCGTTCTTCCTCTTCCAGAAATGGGAAACAGGATCAGAGATCCTAGAGGATCTCACCACGGTCACAGAACATATGAGTGGCAGGACTATAGCCAGCACCCAGGCCATTTGGTTTGTCACCATGCTCTTTCCCTGTTGCTCCAGGGACAGCCACATTCTTGCTTTCACTCTCGAGGGGTGTGCACACACCTGACGGACGTAGCGCTGCCAGTGGCCCCCACCTCACACACCTGTCCCGCGTCCAGAGTCTGGAACTCTGCCCGTCCTGGGCGGTCACAGCACTTTCTCCCACTGCACTATGCCCAGTACACACACGGCTCAACACCTACAGGCCCTGCTACCGGCAGTTCATTCATTCTTTCATTCCATAAAGTGTAGGTTTCTACTCTGGGCTGAGCACCTTCCCAACTCAGGGCTCCAAACCCACTCTCCCCGCAGGTTCCTCATCTCAGGAGACAGAACCACCCACTGACTTCTCTTCTAAGCTTCAAACTCATGGAACCAACTGCCTTACCCAGCGGCATGTTTGGATACCTGTGTATTTTTCACCCAAACTCATGCGTTCAGGGAAGGTGGATTAGAAACCACTCAAGATCCAGAGATAAGTTTTTGGACGGGGGGGGGGGGGGGGGGCAGTTTTTTCCCCACTCACAGAGGAGGGGCCCAGACCCAGACCTCCGCAGTTTTGAAAGGTCAGGGCAAGATGATGGCCATGCAGGGAAGGGAGGGCTCCACGTGTAACCCTGGCATGCCCCTGCCAGGCGAGGCTCCTCATTCGAGAGCCTTGTGCATGAGCACGGGCCAAAAAGGGCTCCTTCCTCACTAGCTTCAAGGAGTCGATGATAGGGTCTGGTGCCACGCCCTGGGGATCTCCGGCCCTCTCCCTAGATACCCCAGGGCTACTCACACAGTCCTCAGGCAACTAGCAGCTACAGGAGTGCCATGGTTCTGCAGTCACAGCTCGGCCTCTCCTCCAACAGCATCCTCCAGCCCCACACAGGAAGTCAGCCCCACCCAGGGCCTAGCCCCCTGCCCCCAGCTCTACCAGCCGCCACAGGCCCAGGTTGGATCCTTAAAAGAGTCTCCTCACTGATTACTTCGTCACCTCTCATTCATTCCCTGGACTCAGTCCCCAGGGGCCACTCAGCTGGACTCAGTCCCCAGGGGCCACTCAAACTTCTCCTGCAAAGCTCACTTACAGCTTTCACGTTGCCAGTCCCTTTGCTGTCCTCATCTCGCGTGATCTTTCAACAGTATTTCACACCGCTGTTCGCCCTCCTTCCTGAAGGGTGTCCTTCTCTAGTCTCCAGGGCACCATGCTTCCTGGTTCCTTCGCACCCCCCCTCCTGGGAGCTCCCCGTCAGGCACAGGTGGGCTCTGGGCCTCTGTCCTCAGCTTGTCCCTTCTCCATCTGGACTCTCCCAGGTCAGGTCACCCATACTGGCTGCTGCAGTACCATCCAACGGCAAATGGCTCGCCCCAGATCGTTACTGCTAACCCCGACTTCTCTCCTAAGCTTCAGATGCCTATTCAACATCTCCCCTTGGATGTCTTATAAGGATCTCAAATTCAATGTGGCCCAAATGAGCCTGGGCTCTCCATCGGTCTCCAGAGTATGGTACACACAGCCGCCACCTCCCCACTTGCTGAAGCCTCACGCCTTAGACCTTGGGAGAAATGCTTCCTCTCCTCTTATTCATCCACCCATCACATTTAACCCAGCATTAGTTCACCCTATTGGGTCACCCTCCAAAACAGAGACCGAATGGGATGACCTCCCACCTTCTCCGTTGCCACCATCCTGCTCTGAGACCCTGTTACCTTTCACCTACTTTCAGAGTCAACTTTCTGTGTCCCTGCCTCTCCTCTTGGCCCCTACAATCCATTCTCCACAAAGCAGCGTGACCTTTGAAAAGTATGAATCATGTCCCATCCATCCTTCCACTTTAAACGCGCCCAGGGCTGCAACGAGAATACAAGCTGAAATCCTTCACCTGGGCCTTCGGGACCTGGCTCCTGCCCACCACGCTGACCTTGTCTCATTCGATCCCTTCTCGTTCCCTCCACACCAGCCAATTGCTGGAGATGCTCTGCCCTCAAATGTCACAAGACACTTTATGCACATTTAGGTCTCTGCTTAAATGTCACCTCTTCTGAGAGCCCCTCCCAGACTGCCCGAAGGTACTCCACCGGCTCCTGTTCCTCTGCCCGACTGCCCTGTTTCATGTGTTTTACAGCAGTTACCACTATTGAAAATTATCTGTGTATTTATTATCAACCTGACCTCGCTCACTGCAATAAAAGCTCCAAGAGAAGAGAGACTGTCGTGCTCACTGCTGTGTTCACAGGGCACCCCCTGGCGTGGAGCAGGTGCCCTGGGATAACCAACGGGTTTTGAATGGAGTGCAGGGGACAGAGAGGTGAGGACTGCCGACTCACTCGATAGAAGGCATGTTGGGTGCGGACATCGGGCTGACCTCCTTGGCCTTCTGCAGCGCGTGCTTCTGGTTGAAAGCCTCCTCTTCTTCCTGCTCATCCTAGACACAAAGAAGACACGGCTGTGCCTGGGACCCCCATGAAGAAGAGGTGGCTCCCTGGGCTCTCCCGAGAAGCTCTGGAGAGCAGGAGAGGTGAGGAGCGCAAGGGAAGAGGTGAAACAAGGCAGAATGAGGTGAGATTGGCTGAGAGACCACAGATGGCCAAGCTGCCGGGCCTCCGTAGCCCTGGCATGGCCGCAACTCTGGTCTCCTCCCTGCCCCATAGGCTGCCCCAGGAGAGCCGTGGAAGTCAAGGCCATGGCTCAGCCCTCGGTGGAGCTGGCCACGCTGTAGAGGTCACAGGCCAGAGCTGTCACTTGCCAGGTGTTCTGTCTGGAAGTGAGGGAACGAGGCCCTTCCAGGCAGAGGCCCTGAAGTGCAGCTCCAAGGCTGTGCCTTCCACCATGCCCTCTTCCCCGCAGAGCTATGTGTTCCCAGGATTGAGTGTTTTCTTTATTCTTCATGTTACAATCCTGCTAAGGGCCTCCTTGAGGGTCCAACCTATTATTTTTCTCTATCTCACGGGAGAACCAGGCTGGTCTGAGGCTCACCAAACTCAAAGAGAGTGAACCAGGCTTCCTTCAGGGCGTGTGGCTCTCCACCTGTCCAGGAGCTCCCGGGAGGGGCCAGATACGCAGACTCCTGGAAGCACCCCAAAGGCATCCAATGGCACTAGAACTATCGCATCCCCAGAGAGCAATGCTTACCTTGGTCAGCTCCTGGGCGTTGGCCAGATTGTCCACAGCGATAGCCAAGAACACATTCAGCAGCGTGTCTGGGGTGACGAGTTAAGGATGGACAAGTAAGAAAAGCAAGAGGCTTCAAAGCAAGGCTGAGAGGGCATCTCCACGTCTTTCCTGCTGGGGACACTAGGATCTACCGCAAAGAGTCACTTAAGCAGGGACTGTGGGAGGGGAGGACAGAGATACTATGCAACCCTGTTAGAAGGAGAATATGTCTTCCCTCCTTCCACATACCATCTCTTTGTTCAGGACAAAGAAATACATGAATGGAGTGAGAAGGCCTTTAAGCAGCTGTGATGTCTATCACAGCAATATCAAACAGAGAGTCAATAAACAACAAGATGGGTAGGGAACTCAACGTAGGAGCTCATCTCCCCTTTCTGGGAGGCTGAAACTGAAGCCCACCTACACGAGCCATCCTAAACGATTCTTAAAGATGAAAAGAAATGAGAACCCACATCCCATCACTGACTAGCTCTCAGTAATGGGTGCTAACTTATTTCTCCTGTTCTTCTTGTCCTGCACAGCTTCTGTATTTCATTTAGCAAAATGTCACGGAGCTCACAAGATCATTATGGAACCCATTTTTATTCTACACTCTAACCTCTCAAGTCCCAAATTTCCAACTGTGTTTGAGGCCCGTGTGTTCTGGGACAAAGAACTGGTTCCAGAAAGTCCAGGTCTGACTGCCCTCAGAGTAAAAGGAAAAAAAAACCACCACCAAAAAAAACCCACAAAAAAACAAAACAAGGCCACTGTGACAAATTGGCCTTCCATTTCTGTGACTCATTGCACAGCTTTCTTCTTACGGGCTCTCTTTGGTCTAGAGTTGGCTTTGGCCCTTATCAGTTTTCAGGGCAGAAAACCAAAAGGGGCATCTTTTCTCTGTGAGATTATAGAAGATGCAGAACCACAGCTGTATCACAGCAGCTCCTCGTTTTTACTCTACCAACCCCAATTCAAGGCAAGTCACACTCCCCCAAAACAGCTAATGATGGTGTAGAAGTTTGTAGTTTACCAGGTAAACTACACGCGCTGCATTCAAATAAATTACCTCATTTACTATTCACAAGGAACAAAGAAGACAGGCATTGGTATTCTAATTTCACATGTGGAAACTAGAAGCTCAGAAAGATGGAGTGCCTTTCTCAAGGCCACACAGCTGGATGCAGAGTTGCTGGGATTAAAACCGAATCTTCCTGGATCTAGATCCTGTGACCAGACCTGGGTTTTGGAATGCAATGAACTTGGTTTCTACTTTCCCTTTACAGTTGAGTAATTGTTTGATCTTTGTTATTTCTCCTATGTCTTATAAAGTAAGGATTAGATGAACTAGTGCCAGTAAAGCACTTAGTACACACAGAGACTCACAAATAGCACAGAAGCAGTCAATGTTAGATGTGCTTAGTTGTAGTAGCATTAACCATAATGCTAGTGTTTTAGAGATCTTACTATGGGGCAGGCTCTGTTCTATGGTAACATGAAATTAACTCATGAGTATTATAATCTGCCCACTGTTTCAGCCTACAACGATCTCTGCCCTCTCTTCTTTCCCCAGCTCATAGTAGCTCCAATCATTCAACACAATAGCCTCATTTGGATGCTATTCTTTTTCTTCATTTTTATCCCCTTTACCCAATTAGCGTACAAATTCCTTAAGGTCAGGATCCTTGTTTCTCTTAGTATACGGAGCAATGTCTGGTTTCCTCTTAGTATACAGAGCAATGTCCGCCCCCCCATCCCTGCCCCACTCCAGTTCTACCACCATCACCACCCTCCTCCCCACCTCCTCCACACCACCACCACCACCTCCACCTCCACCACCAACCTCCTCCTCCTTCACCATCACTACCACAACCCCCCCTCCACCACTTTCTTCCATCTCCCCCTTCCCCTCCTCAAATGCCGGACTGGGCAGGCAGGCAGCACAAAGAGGAGCATCTTTAAAAAGGATACAGTTTCCAAACAAGGTGAGCACAATGAAATAGATGGCTGACCACATGCCTGAGCTGACCCCACCCTGGGAGCGGATCCCATTGTACATCACCTCATTCCAGTCCTCACCTGTCAGGATCTACGCAAAGCAAACAACAGGCAGGTCAGAGACCTGGGCTGGTTGAGAAAATGGGGAAAAGTCTGGGCCTGAGCCTTTTCCACCTACCCCCTTGCTTGGCCATCCTGCCAGGGAGGGGAAAAAATGTCACTCCCATGGATAATCCTAAACTTTCTTCTGTTATGGAAGAGAATTTTAGGCATTGAAAATAGAGAAAGAGCATTAAAAGGGAAGATTCTATTCCTCAAACTACAGAGTCCCTCCCCCCCACCCCCACTTTGCCAGGCCCACAGGAATCACTCAGTCCAGGCAGTCTGGTCACTCCCCACCTGTCACCAGAGCTGCCAAGAGGCAGCTCCTGAGACAGCATCATTATGGGAAAGAGCTGCCTGGGCACCGTTCTGGGAACCTGGATTCTGGTTCAGCCTCAGATTCTGGCTAAATAGCGTTTTTCTTAGGTCTAAGACATTACTGATTATTAATTTCCCCCATTATTCCAAATTTATTTTGGTGGGGGCTAATCATACTTCATTAAATGATCACATGTGTTAGATGATGTTTCCGGTTTCAGAACACCATAAATGCAATAGCTTTTTTACCGTCTTTGACTCGAGATCTCATATGTAGGGAGGAGGCCAACGAGGCCATCATGAGGGGGCTCTTCTCTTATCGGTAAGAACAGAGCGACCGAAATCCTAGGAATTACTGTGGTGATGATTCCTCAACAAGCAAGGTACCCAGCTGCCTGGGAGGGGCCGAGTGGGATTCTCCTAACCCTTTCACCTTGCGGTGTGCGCCCAGGAACCTGCCAGCTGGCCTCATACCTGGAATACAGTCATGATGGCTGCAGGGAAAGTGTCAAAGTTTGCCGAAGGAGTCCCATCATTAAAGTTAAACCTGAGAAGGAAATCCAGAGAGAATGGAATGAAAATTCTTACACACCAAGGTTCCCCTTCCCAAGATTATGCCATTTTCATCACTTCTTTCCCCTTTCTCCACGTCCCCCTCTTTCCTACATTCCCCCCACTCCATGTCCCTAGTAAAGATGGTATTAGAGACTATGGCTGAAGGACTGTGCTCTGTGAAGGGTGTGTCTTTGAAGGGCGCGGGTACTGAGGTGGAGTTTGGGCAGATCCTGAGGTTCAGGGCCCTGGGCTGTACATTTCAGAGAGCTCCAGAGGAAGGGTCCCTGAAGCAAGAACCCTGAACAATGTGAAAAGGTTACAAGCAGAGACGCCTGTTCCACAAAACGCACAGTGGTTGATTTGGGCCATGAACAGGAGCAAACAAGATGGGAACTTGGTGATTGAATGAGTGACCCCGGCGCTCCCAGGCTGACGTTTTAAGGCTCCTTTGGATGGAAAGCTAGTTGGTGCTTACCTGCCTCCAAACAGCTGCATTCCTAGGAGAGCAAAGACAACGATGAAGAGGAAGAGGAGGAAGAGCAAACTGATGATAGACTTCATGGAACTCATCAAGGAGACCACCAAATTCCGTAGGGATGCCCAGTACCTACAAAACGCAGACGACATGACAGTGGTGAGCAGTGAATACCATGTTATCCCCAAGTCAGCTGGACATCTGCCTGGTGGTCTATGAATGAGCTGCATTTTTAATCCTTGTAGGAAGGAGAGATGGTAGCAACAGTGTGGCTCCCCTTGGGAATGTAGCATGGGACTTGGCATCGTAGATGTTTCTTCTGGTTCGATCTTTGGAGGAGGAGGAGGAGGAGGAGGAGGAGGAGCTGAAGAATGAAGTGGGGGGATGAGATAAGGAAGGGGAACATCTGGTAAGGGGGATGAGGAATGGGAGGACATATAATAAGGCAGAGAGGAGAGAGACCAAGATGGCGGCATAGGTAAACACCGGAGACTGCTGCCGCAAACAACCACTTCAAAAATACAACTAAAAGACGGAACGGACATCACCCAGAACCACAGGAAGGCTGGCTGAGGAGAGACTCTTCAACTAGAAGGAAAAATAACAGCACACCGAGGCTCAGAGGAGGCGCAGTGTGGAAAAAACTCAGGTGCGGAGGTGCGCGCGCAAAGCGGGCTGGTGGCTGAGAGCGCGGTTGTCGTTTTCGGTCAGGGGGGAGTCTCAGACTCTGAGCTCCAGATACGGGCGAATCGCTGGGGACTCGGACCCAAACGGGAGAAGCGGGAGTGTCTGGCATCAGTTGGAAGGCAGCTTTCCCTCCGAGGTTTGCAGCGGTTCCGGGGGTTCTGAGAAGCAGAGCCTCTGGGAACGGGACTGAGAGGGGCCATAACCGCTCCCTCCGCCCGCCCGCCCTGTTGAGCCCGCCCCGCCCAAGCCCTGCGCAGAGCCATTTGCCGGATCGCCGCAGGCAAAGGCTAGATTAGCGCCCCCCCAGAGGACAGAAGTTTTCCGCGGCAGACACAGCTGATTCACACAGCCAGTCGGCCTGGTGGTCAAATCCCTCTAGTATTAACTACAACAATCAAGGCTCAACTAGAACAAGACTGCGCACAAAGACCACTAGGGGGTGCACCAAGAAAGCATAAAAAATGCGGAGACAAAAAAACATGACAGAAATGGAGGATATAGAGCTAAAAATCGCAATTTTGAGGGCTTGCAAAAATGTGCTAGAAGCTGTCAATAAACTTGAGGAGAGAGTCACGAAAACTAATGAGACCCTCGATGCTATGATAAAGAACCAACTAGAAATTAAGCATACACGGACTGAAATAAAGAATATTATACAGACACCCAATAGCAGACCAGAGGAGCGCAAGAATCAAGCCAAAGATTTGAAATGCGAAGAAGCAAAAAACACCCAACCGGAAAAGCAAAATGAAAAAAGAATCCGAAAATACGAAGATAGTGTAAGGAGCCTCTGGGACAGCTTCAAGCGTACAAACATCAGAATAATTGGGGTGCCAGAAGATGAGAGACAGCAAGATATTGAAAACCTATTTGAAGAAATAATGGCAGAAAACTTCCCCCACCTGGTGAAAGAAATGGACTTACAGGTCCAAGAAGCGCAGAGAACCCCAAACAAAAGGAATCCAAAGAGGACCACACCAAGACACATCATAATTAAAATGCCAAGAGCAAAAGACAAAGAGAGAATCTTAAAAGCAGCAAGAGAAAGAGACTCAATTACCTACAAGGGAATACCCATACGACTGTCAGCTGATTTCTCAACAGAAACTTGGCAGGCCAGAAGGGAATGGCAAGAAATATTCAAAGTGATGAATACCAAGAACCTACAACCAAGATTACTTTATCCAGCAAAGCTATCATTCAGAATTGAAGGTCAGATAAAGAGCTTCACAGATAAGGAAAAGCTAAAGGAGTTCATCACCACTAAACCAGTATTATACGAAATGCTGAAAGGTATCCTTTAAGAAGAGGAAGAAGAAAAAGGTAAAGATACAAATTGTGAACAACAAACATGCATCTATCAACAAGTGAATCTAAGAACCAAGTGAATAAATAATCTGATGTACAGAATGAACTGGTGATTATAATGAATCAGGGACATAGAAAGGGAATGGACTGACTATTCTTGGCGGGGAAAGGGGAATGGGAGATGCGGGAAGAAACTGGACAAAAATCGTGCACCTATGGATGAGGACACTGGGTGGGGAGTGAGGGC